CCTGGTCATGCAAAAGCTGTAAAAACAGTAATACTAGTAATGATCTACACTCGAATATTGATGAAACTGTAAACGATAGTGGCTCTCAGCAGGCAAAAGTTAAATTTAAGGCACAGTGTTACGCTTGTTTAGGATGGTCTTATTCTATAAATAATGTGAGAGAATGTGATTGGTGCGACAGGAAAGTTCACGTGAAATGCTACAGAGGTGTGTTAGGATGTGTGAAGTGTTGCGAGGAGAATATTGCAGGTTTCAATATAAACTGCATCGATTTGAACGAGAACTACTGCACAGAGTCGGACAAAATCTCATTTAATCCGTACCACAGAGATTGTTTAATAAATGATATAGGAGATAAGCTAGATGATCACGAGGGTTGCTCTGATTATTGGAACGAGCTATCTCAATTCTTACAACGCTGTGAATATAAGCAGCCGACGCACGTAAAATCTGCGAATCGCAACGAGCTCAAGATTTTTTCCCTAAATGTGAGATCACTACATAATAACATCAGCTACTTCCGGGAAGAGATCGACACATATAGCAATTTCGATATCTTAAGTTTTAATGAAACCAACTGTACTCTGAATAAATTACCGAACGGGATTACTGACCTTATTTTGGAAAATTTCTACGAGCCTATCCAGCAAGACCCTGTAAGGAAAACAGGCAGGGGAGGGGGTTTAACGATATATATTAACAAACGGGTCTGTAATCCGGAACAAATTGAATCTTTCAGGCCAAATTTTGAGGGGGATGGTGACTTGAACGGTGAGTTCCAATTTGTAAAGATTCACAACTGCAAAGGCTTCAACAAAACTAAACTGTTAGTTAATGTTTATCGCTCTCCTTCTAGGAGTATTGACAAATTTACCGAAATTCTAGATAACCTACTTCGAAGTCTTGATAGGCACTCTCGCAAACACATCGTTTTTACCGGTGACTATAATGTTGATTTAGTAAAACACGAAAAAGATGTAGCAGGGAAAAATCTTATCGCAGTTTATGAAAAATACGGATTTGTACAACTGGTGTCAAGGCCCACTCGTGTAACTGATCATAGCGCAACCTTAATTGACCACGTCTATACCAACGACCTATTAAATACCTTGAGTTGTCATGTACTGACGGTCAATGTGTCGGACCACTTAGCAACACTGACGACACTCTCACTGGGCAGGAGTGCAGGGAGGCGCGTTATATCGAGTGAGGGTCGTGAGAAGGTGCCGAACTTCCGCAGGTTCAATGCGGCTGCACATGCTGATTTCAAAAGAATTATTGAGAGCGAAACGTGGAGTGAGGTGCACAGAGAAACTAATGCGAATGACCAGTATGACAAATTCAGTGAAATCTATTCCAAACATTACGATCAAGCATATCCTGAAAAGAAACCTGGACCTAGACGTAAAAATGAACGGCAGGACTCAAAACCCTGGATCTTACCGTGGCTAGAAGATGCATGTGCCCGTAGACAGCGTCTCTACCACGATAAGATAAAAGTTCCCAGCGTGACAAATATTGCTGCGTACAAAAAAATTAATAAATTTTGTAACAAACATATAAATTTGGCCAAAACCAAGTACTACAAAAACTTTTTTGAGGAGTACCGCGACAACTCCAAAAAGCAGTGGCAACTTATTAATAGTCTCCTGGGTAGAAATGTCAGGCACTCTGGGCCTATTAAAATAAAGGATGAATGTGGAAACATACTCAGCAGCCATTCCGATGTATCGGCTAAATTTAATGAGTATTTTTCCAACATTGCAAGCAACATAAAGTCCCAGATAAGTGCTAGGCAAACTTTCGATCCAGGAGGTTTTGAAGAATTCTTACAGGACGGACGTAGGACGGATATAGGTACTAGCAGTATTGAGTTAAGACCTGTTACGCCCTCTGAAATCAGTAAAGTAGTAAAAAAATTCAAGAACAAAGCGACACTTGACACAAAAATTGAACCAATGAAGCTTGCAAGCTTAGATACGAAATTCACAAAAACGTTGGCCGTAATCATAAATTCTTCCTTTACTGAGGGAATATTTCCAAATGCTCTAAAATCGGCACGAGTTGTTCCGATACACAAAGGTGGCTCTAAAACAGAAGTTACTAATTACAGACCAATCTCTTTGCTAAGCTCTTTCTCGAAAATATACGAGAAACTCATGCATAGTCGAGTTCTTGAATTTTTAGACTTCAATGGATCACTTTTTGAAAGTCAGTACGGTTTTAGGCCTGGCATGTCATGTGAACACGCTTTACTTAATGCTCAAAATAGTATTCTACACTCTCTCAACAGTAAGCAAATTGCTGTGCTGCTTCTTCTTGACTACTCTAAAGCTTTTGACGTTATTGAACATCCTATACTACTAAAAAAACTGGAACATTACGGCATTAAAGGTTCAGCACTTAAATGGTTCGAGTCCTATCTGAGCGGCCGCCACCAATTCGTGACTGTCGGTGGAGAAGACTCGAGGCCCAGAGAAATCCAGTTTGGAGTACCCCAGGGGTCGATTTTGGGACCATTACTCTTTGTGATCTATATCAACGACCTTCCAAACATCACAAATTTAGCTAAGTTTATACTGTACGCAGACGATGCGAATATCATAGTTACTGGTTACACCGAGCAAGAGGTTCAGTTCAAACTAAATCAAATAACCTCGCTCCTGATCAAATGGGTTGATAGCAACGGACTTGCTCTCAATCTCAAAAAAACTCACTTTATGGTATTTAGCAATCATAGAACGACAACCCTTTCTAACATTAATGTTTCCATAGCTGGAGTAGTGATAGATCAAGTGACTGAGGCACGTTTCCTCGGAGTAATAATCGATGATAAATTAACGTGGAGCAAACACATACATGCCGTTAGGGCCAGGATGAATAGATACATGGGTATCATGTACAAAATTAAACGGTACTTACCGTTAAAAGTCAGGCTTCAAATTTATCACAGCTTTGTTCAATCCCACCTCAATTTCTGCTCCCTCGTCTGGGGTTTCGCAGCCAAATCACACATTGAGTCACTATTCACAAAACAGAAACAAGGTGTGAGAATGGTTATGCCAGGTTACGTCAATTATTTCTACAAGGACGGCCAATTGCCTGCACACACGAGGGACAGCTTTAAAGAGTATGGAATTCTCACTATTCATGGAATTATCGTGAAGAACGCACTTATATTAATGCACAGGATGAAATACTTCCCTGAAACAGTGCCAAAATCAATCAAAGGCCTTTTTCCAAGTAATATCCCGACAGTTAACTCCAGCCATGAGACTAGCTCTGACTGGCTTCTTACATACGGTAGTAACACTTTTAGACAATCAGTATTTTTTAAAGGTCCACTGCTTGCCATCACTGAAACAAACTTAAATATAACTTGTCTTCCCAGCTTATTTTCAATAAACATTTACAAGTCTAATGCAAAACGTGTGCTTTTGGAACACCAATCAAGAGGCAACAACGAGGAAAGCTGGCAAACCTTTTTACTGAATAATATTCCAGGTTTAAGGAAATCTCAACGGTCACAAAATCACACACCCCACAACATAACTTAGTATCAGTAAACTATCTAAACAACATGAGGCATTCACTCAATAAACTTCTTAGTTACAAAAGCACTTCAAAACTAATAATTACCGACCACTTTTGAAATCGGAAAATTTTCACTGCCAGACCTGCTACTAGTTTACTGATAATACTCCTGGCCATTGCTCAATTAAAGCCTTATCAGCACAACACGCACAATCACATATCATCAACGTAGCTGATCTCAACGCATCATAATAACAACCACGCGCACACACACCCACTTACCACTACACAGTACTACACACAGAGCCCAGCAATCAATTCAAATAACGCCTAGCTGATTTTGATAGAATGACATCGTGATCCAGCGTGATGAATTGTTTTAATCTTAATTGAAGTTAAACGGCTGCACCCCTGACTTTTTAACTAAAAGATAAGAGACGTATATATTAGGACATTTGTAATCTGATAAAATTTTAAGTTTTGGTGTGTGAATTAAAGCTTGGTGTGAGAATTAGTGTGGAAATAAAGAGATTCATTTTATTACATCATATATCTTAATTAAGTGACAGTAAGTATTATTATTTTAACTACAGCTTATATTATTTCAGTTAGTATTGACATGAATGTTACGATTTCAGTTTATTTATTATATATTATATTGTCAATAAACCGGTTTCAAAGCCCTTAAGGGTGGCCCTCGGGTCTTTAAAACAAAACAGAGGGACAACCAGGCATATGATGAGACAGAATGTTAAACTATAGTTACTCTCATCACTATAACAGATGGGACCTACTCACTCTGACCACAAGACACTACAAGTTAGTGACGGTGTGACGTCATACCACGTGGTGTGACGTAAAATCACGTGATGTGACGTAAAATCACGTGATATGACGTCACACCACGTGATGTGACTACAAGACACTAAAAGTTACAAGTTACCCGGTACATGGTTTTAACAACATACAGTACAAACAAGGTATACACACTGCACTAAATTAGCGGTCACGTGACTACAAAGAGCATGTATCATGTACACATTATAACTACAAAGTACAAGTAACTTATAACAAAAGGGCTCACGGTGCTACACTTCATTAATCAGCAACAACTTTGTGGTGCTTGTATTAGAAGAGGGGGTTAAACTGTGCAATCTTGAAAATCGCTCAAATTAATTTATATAGACAGCTGGACAGCTGGACAGTTATGTCAGACATTCTTCTGTCTGACGTTACTGGTTACCCTGCGTCATTGTCAAGGGTTTATTTTTGTACCAATTTGGTGCAAACCAAAAAAGGGCTAAATGTAAAATATTGAGGTTCAGGGGCACAGCCCTCAAAAGATAGAGTTGACAACAGAAGTGTTTGAATGTTGGCCCCCTTCAGTCTTATAAACTTATGAAACCAGTCAGCCCAATATACCCAAGTGAAAGTGAAAGTGAAAGTAAGAAGAACACCAAACATACCCCAGAGTAGGTTGAGAGAGTAAGGACTTGGTTTTGTTCTGAGAGTAGGAGGAGCGGGAGCACTGGGACTCACTGGTCTGGTTTTAAAGTTGAAGGGGTTAGAGGGGGGTCCTTCACCTCCTGCAGTTACCACTGTCACTAGGATCCTGTAACAATCAGGTATTATTGTGGTGTGACGTCATACCACGTGATGTGACGGCATGTCAGTGAACGTGACGTCATGTTACTTGGTTCGATATAATAACACGTGGTGTGACGTCATGCCACGTGGTGTGACGTAATAACTCGTGGTGTGACGTCATGTAAGGCTCTCACCTGTAAAGTGTACCAGGAAGAAGAGAATTTATGAGTATCTTAGTATCGTCAGTAGTGTGGAACTCCAGTACATCACCATTAGCTCTGTTAGCTGTGCTATCGGATCCAGTTACAGTGTTTAACTTCAAATTGTAGCGTAGAATCTGCTGTTCTCCTTCTAGTACTGGGGGTTCTGAAGAGGAGTAATATTAGTTAAAATGTTAAACTTCACGGAGAAACATTGAGCATACGTTTGTATTTTGTAAGCTTTTAATTGAAAATTCTCCAATAAAACCCCTAAAATAAACCACCTAAGATATTAAACAAAGAAAATGTCTGACCCCAAGCGATAATAGCACTGTCACTCCTCTCCTTGCCCTCAACCCTGACCCTAACTGGAGGGTTAGGAAGTCCAGCCCTAGTTGTGAACATTACCACAGCACTCGGCTTACTTTCTCCCGCTACATTACCTGAGTAAACCTGAGAGAGAGAATGGTGTGACGTCATAGGGTAGTGTGTGACGTCATAGGGTGGTGTGTGACGTCACAGAATTTTGGATTTATGTTTACAGCGAAATTCTTGATAGGTTTAGTTCCTTTGCAATCACAAATATTCATGAGTTTCAAAGTTCCTGAATGCCAACCGTGATATAAGTTTCTGAGTTTGATGTTTCTCTAAGATGTCACGTGACATGTTACTAACCCTGAACTTGTATCTGGTGGATCTAGTGAGGTTGGGAATGTGGCATTCTTGTAATTCTCCGTCATAAACACTGATAAAACCGTACTCTGTTTCTTGTTCCACGTTGTACCCTGTCACTTCCGCTGCAAACATTGTAAACATGTGAATATAATAATATAAAGTAGAGTCTCAATAAAACCCCATCATCTGAACCCCCCCCCACAGAATGTGTCCTTCATTTCTAAAGATCCACCAACTACAGTCTCCTTTTGTGGGACCTACCGGCTACCATCTAAGGCTCTATCACACGTGTTGTGACGTAATATCACGTGTTGTGACGTAATATCACGTGGTGTGACGTAATATCACGTGGTATGGCGGCTGACGCAATCCGAGGAATATAACATCCACCCCACTACAGCACATATTATAATAATTAAAACTCGGGTCCTATAATATCCCAGACAATACGTCACACAGATACTGGTTTCTACTGGTTACTGGATTCTCCACAGAGTGCAAAGTGTGCAGATTATTACAACACTGCAGCAGCAGGGTTATAGCTAAATATGGAGTTTTGATTAAAGAAGTGTCCACTTAACTTGGTTAAAGACCCCCCAATCAGTATCATTGCACAATGCACAGTTACCAGTTAAATCCTATAGTTACTCAGAGCAGAGGATTGTGCAATAATCTACAGCCCCAGATTTAATAAATTTCAAAAAACTGTTTCACAATCAGCTCCACAGGAAACGGCAGATGTACATCATAACACTGCACTTAACTCTATTTTTATTTAAGTTAATAGTAAATTAAAGAAGATAACTATCTAGTATCTAACCTCCTCCGTTATCATTAGGAGGACTCCAGCAAATAGTTAGAGAAGTCTCTGAAGCTTGTCCCAGGTAGATACAGGTAGGAGGATTGGGAACTCCAAATCCAGTACGACAAGTTCCTGTCTCACTCCTCTCACTGAAATAAAGTGTGACGTCATAATACGTGTAGTGTGACGTTATAACACGTGATAGTTATTTTTTCAGGGGAAAACTATAAATCGAACAGTACGTTTAAAATAAATAACTTGAATTTAAATGTTTCGCAGAAATATGGAAACATAAAACAATTAGTGCAAGGTCACACCACGTGACATGAATATGACGTCACACCACGTGACAAGTAACTCACCTCTCCCCCATCTCGTTAACAGCAGACACAGAGAAATTGTACTCAGTCCCCGGCTTGAGTCCTGTTATTTTGTATTGTCTCTCGTAACACCTAACCAGCTCCCTCCACTCTCCTCCCCCTTCGTCCCAGTAGAGGATGTAGTGGGTTATTGCACACCCGTTATTAGCTGTAGTCTGGTGGGACAAGTTGGTTATTATCAGTTGAGGACACAGTTGAGGACACAGTTGAGGACACAGTTGAGGACACATAATGGACTTTAGAAGGGTTGTAAAATGTAAATTCTTTGTAAGCTCGTTGTGTCGACGTTAGAATTTGTCTGTATTAAAGTAACACGTGACATGACGTCACACCACGTGACGGTTACTAACGTTCCACTTGACGTTGAGAGAGGATTTAGTAGCACCCCCAGGTCGAGGAGGCTGTGGTTTAGAGGGTGAGGTGGAGAGGGTGGTGAACTCTTGTGGGGAGCTGGCTGCTCCAGTTATACTGCCACAAACTGCGTTTACACTGTGGGTAGTTGCTATTAGTGGGGGTGAGGATGAGATTTACCTATTCAAGATTATATTGTTAATTGAGTACAATAAAACACTGATATACTACAAACCCCGCTTTATTTCAAATTTCAAATTATTGTAAACCTCCATTTACAGCAGCATTGTTCTATCCCCAAAATCCGTGGGAGACTTACCAAACAGAATACTGAGTACCAGGAACTAAATCTGACAAAATGTGCGGAGTTTCCACTTCCTCTATAACAGATGTATTGCGCCCAGTGGTCAGGTTTAGAGAATAAACACATCCTTCTATATCCAGCTCGTCCCAAGAAACAACCGCGCTGTCCCCTGATATACTGCCTGAGAGGAAATGTGTCACGTGGTGTGTGATGTAAAGACACGTGGTATTCAAAGAGAGATGATCCAACCTAGTGAAAGTGAAAGTGAAAGTAAAGAGAGATAATCCAACTGACCGACGCTAAGTGATGTGATGTTTGATAAAAGCTGCTGTAGAATCTCGTCCGCATCATCATCAAAAACTTCAGTGTCTTCAGATGCCCCAGCTTCTCCGCTGCCCTGTTTGAATTTGCAGGTTCCCTGCGGTTGTTAAAATAAATTTTGAAAACGCATTAAATTTCTAAATGTACTGGAAAAACGTTTTTAAAGTACTTATGATTACTTCAGCGTTTTTAGATAGTACACAGAATTCTGTAGTGATACATCATCTTGATTATTGTAGCACAACTAGGACCAACCAATATGGTAAAATTAATCGGCCAGTAAAAAAGGACTAACGTGGCAGGGAACAAGAATTGTTTCAGGCGCATCATTCTGAGCAGCCCCACTGAGCTGGCGCTCGCGCAACTTCTCACGCAGCTTCTCTGCTTGTTCGTTTGCTCTGCTGTCTTTAAACCGGACTGGTTTATCTTGACTCTGTAAACAAACACAAATAGTATCAACTTATAAATTATCTAATTACATAAGTTATAACATATTAAGTTATATAAGTTACATTGGTACATAAGTAGAGCGTGAACGGTACTACTGGTACCTTAAATCAGTAATCATGCTTATATTATGAATCCCAGACATGAGCATTTCTTAAGTTAACATGTAACCTATAAGGTATGTTGCGGTCTGTGCTATGTAGTTATGTAGTAACTGGTACGTAGTAATGTAGTACAGGTGTTAGTTAGATATTAAAAGTTTACAAATATCAGTTTACAAGACGGTGGTGAGTGGTGCAAAATGGTCACACTACTTATTACTAAGTATTCAAATATAAGGGGGTATGTAGCGAATCTGAGTACTACTTACTAAGTATTCAAATATAAGGGGGTATATTGGGGTATATTATGTAGCGAATCTGAGTAATACTAATGTTTTAGCGCAAAATGCATGTAAAATTATAATGAAAATTAATTTCGCTTATTCTCCAGACATCCAAGACCTAAATGCTAATCTCAAATATAAGCAATGGTGTAAAAGTTAAAATCTTTAGGTACTAAAGTGCAAATTTCGGACAATTTATAATTTACAAACTGAACGTCAACGATTTTAGGTAACTTTTTAGGTAACTTTAAGGTAACTTTAATGTAACTTTAATGTAACTTTAAGGTAACTTTAAGGTAACTTTAAGGTAATTTTAAGGTAACTTTAAGGTAACTTTAAGGTAACTTTAAGGTAACTTCAAGGTAACTTTAAGGTAACTTCAAGGTAACTTTAAGGTAACTTCAAGGTAACTTTAAGGTAACTTTAAGGTAACTCACCTCAGTGCGGTGTCTGAAGACGTGGTGGTGGAAGTGGGAGTGGTCGCTGGAGGCGACAGCGCCTTGAAGAGTAAAAGCAACACGAGGAGGCTCTGTACTGCCACTGGGCACGATTTCTGGTGCTGAAAAGATATGTGTTTGTATCATTATCATTTAGAATGTTCAATTGTTTGCAGAGTCGACACAGCAGCTTGGCTGTTCAGTTAAACTCACTGTTCTCAGATTTCCATTCATTGTTCAATGTTCATGTATCATGCCTCAGAGTAGTTCATTATTCAAGCTAGTGTATTGTATAAGATCAAGAACTGGTCAGAAGCATGACTTAGAAATTCTATTTACTTACTTCTATTTTACTGTTCTAGTCTATTATAAGTATGTTGCCCCCAGGTTGATAGCATTAATTATGTCAATTGTAAATCAATTGTAAATCAATTGTAAATCAATTATAAATAAATTATCAATCATTTATAAATCATGGCAGAAGTTGTACTAACTTTGACTCGCTGGCTCTTCATGTTCTTCATCTGTCATTTCATAACACGTGACAGATGCTTAGATTAATTATTAAATTAGATTAATCATAAACAATCTATGATCGAATAATTTAACCATATCACAATATCATTTAACAAACGATAATATCTTATTATTACTATAAAGTTTGGTCATTCTACATTTTTACTGGTTCAAGCGGAGACGAACATTTTCGTCGCGGAACGTTTGTATGGCAGAAAATATTCGCAACGAAAATTTTGAGGTACTAAAGCTATGATTCCCACTGAAAATTTTGGATATGCCTTACCGGTAGGACATATTCGAATTTCAGCTTTCTGCGACCCAAATTTCACTGTTTTGACTGAATTTTTCTTCAATGACCATCTTACAAGGTCACAGAAGATGGCAAAAGACACGATTGAGGTACTCAAAGCTCTATTCCCAAAGAAAGCTTTGATAAACGGAAAATCATCAGAATATAAAAGAGATTTTGGAATATTTTTAAATAGAAGCTTCTCAAAAGAGATTTTGGAGGATTTTTGAAGAGTAGCTTTTCTGTCGTCCCCTTGATAGAAATTTCGTGGTTTTTACTGAAATGTTGACCAGTGACCATTCAGTGAAGTCGGTGAGAGTGACACAAGATGCCATCAGGGTACCGGAATCAGTACGTCTGGAGAAAACGTTGATGCAATGAAAATTTTGAATATGTCCTACCAGTAAGACATATTCGAATTTCAGCTTTCCACGACCCAAATTTCACTGTTTTGACTGAATTTTTCTTCCATGACCATCTTACAAGGTCACAGAAGATGGCACAAGACACGATTGAGGTACTCAAAGTTCTATTCCCAAAGAAAGCTTTGATAAACGGAAAATCATCAGAATATAAAAGAGATTTTGGAATATTTTTAAATAGAAGCTTCTCAGTATCAACCAATCACGAATAAATAAAGCATGGTGACGATAAAAACGTATATGTAGAGACGACATTTTAGGGATAAGTGATAAGGCATGCGATAAAAACGATGAAAATTACTATGGATGAGTACTCCATATCATATCAATGTGAATACATGAAAACAGCTAATAATCAAATTAAACACCGAAACAATATTCAAATTGGGGCCAAAGATGTTTTAGAAAACAGTTTCAAGGTAATTATTTAGTGTAAAAATGTGACATTATTTGCTTTAGCGCTCGATTTTAATAAATCGACGAAAATATGCGCGGCGCGACTAAAATTTTGGTTGTATAGTTTTATTTTGAAATCATTTCTCAGCCATAACTGAATTGTTTTTATTTAAATTAGTCATATTTTATAATATTTTTGAAACAATCTTTTGATGACAAAACATTAAAGTACCAAAAATGAAATAAATAAGCGCATTTTACAAAATATTCCTAATTTTGAACACTTTTTAAACTATTTGCAACGATCTTGATGGGTTGACATCGTCAATCAACATGAACAGTCTAGTTAGCAGCAGTCAGCAACAGTCAGCAGCAGTTAGCAATGCAGTTATAACTATTATATATGTTTCTTTGCACTATTAACTTTGTCATACGTTATATGACCCGCTGCGCACGAGTGCGCAGCTCCCCCTGTATCGTAGAAACTCTACAGCTTGAAACTCTATAGTGAAACGACGATGGGGGTCACGACGTGATACAATATCAACTATGGCATCCCTGTGGCACAGAGAATGCAAGTAACTAACTATGGACTAGCAAGCTAGGTAACACATTATTAATGTATATTACCCATGATCGGAGAGACAAACAGCATTTTTTACATGTTTAGAAACAATTATTTTGATTGACGGCCCAGTAACTACAAGGCTCGTATTGGCCTTGTAGTTACTGGGCGGCGCTCAGCCTGTCACTCCGCCGAAGCGAATCTTTATGAACATAATAGCCTGGGGTCCCCAGGTAAGCCTTGTAGGTTTATAACCTACCAAGACGCGCGCCGAGTTGGACTCGTCGACAGTCTTGAATATTTGAAACAAATATTTTACGAGTATCACCCGTTTAGTATTACCTGGGGACCTCAGGCTATTATGTTCATAAACAACAACCGAATAGAGATTCGGCGGAATGACAGGCTGAGCGCGGCCTTGCTCTAACCAGAGCCCTCTCGCTTGCAGTAGCGCGCGACCGCCGGAGGCGGCAAAAAGGTATATTCAACTTGTGAAACAAGCGCGTCATTGGTCACGCAGTACGCGTATCGGTATACACATGGCTATGTGAAAGCGCGGCCCATTGAGTTAAGTATTGGCCCAGTGATGCATTGTTTCACTTATTGATTGCATTCAACATTATTAAATGCGCAGCGCGATCGAGTAGGAAAGAAAAATTTTTTTAGGAAAGAAAAATTTTTTATTTACCACAAAACAATCAATACATAATGTTATATTCATAAATAAATTCAAATTTCAATTTCAAACACATATACAGTACGCCGCGCACACAGCCACAATTTTCAATTGTTCAGAAATTCGTAGGTCAGCTGTAGGCGCCGCGCACAGGATCTATTTAATTGTTATCTTACAATTACATGTCGCATTTCTTAATTACTAGAGCCAAAATTTCAGAAGCAAAATAATTTAAAACATATTTCTGTCGTTCACGCAGTACAGGCCGTGAGCACTGCGATCTAATTAATAGATCGAAAAGTGCGATTTGCTCTACAAAAATCATCGGTTTTACTTTACTTTACTTTATGACCTCTTGAAAACTATGTTTATAGTTTTTGAAAATGGCTTCAAGAGGCATGTGTATTTCAACCCTCGACTTAAACTTTACGTTTAATAAACTAGATAGATTAGATTAGATTAAGAATAATGACATAAACATCACTAGTTTTAAACATTCTTTTAAAATTGGCCTTTTAAATTGACCTTCTTCCTCTCAGCTATTATTTTTGGAAAAGAATATTCAAAGAATATACACATAATATAGCAATGGCCAATCGGCTGACTATAAGGTCATGGCCTGAACAAACAATTTTTTAAATAGTCAAGTGATGCTAAAGCAGAGCACAAATGTGTAATAAGTTAATAGATTAAAAACTGATTCATGTGATGCATTACGCAGAGCACAGATAAAAATACTGATTCAATGATTAAAATTATAGCTGTGAGTGTCAATAAATTACTGTGTCCTCTTAGCTATTATTGGATTATCTTTCATATAATTTACATAATTACTCCAGTGAGCTACAGTAACATCAGTTCTATCAAATATATCATATGAAAGTTCCCAGTGATGACCAAGCTTATTAGCTCGATATTCATGAAGCCGAAAGGCATCTAATCCCCTCTTGAAACCAGTAACCAACTCACTAGCTTTCACAAGTGGTGGTAGACTGTTCCAATAGCGCAAGACCCTTTGGGCAAAGAAATCAGTCTCATTTGTGGTAAATCTATGAGTCTTTGATCTAGCAGCAACAGTTTGTAGTATACTGAATTAACTAACTAACTTTGTTAAAAATAATTCGTGAAAGTAAAGTAAAGTTAAATAAAAATTATGACATAACATCATCACTAATCATCACTCGCTTTGAAATTCTCAGAACAACAGTGATTTCTCTCCGTGGAGACAGAGGTGCGAGAAAAAACATTGTTGATATAAACAGTCTAGATCTTAACTTGGAGCCACAAGGCCAAGGGTAATTTTTAATTGTTAAGGGAATTTTTTGAATTCTTAAAAGGGTTGATTTTATATAGGGTCATTGCTATATTATTATGTGTATATTGTTTGAATAATTTTATATATATCACTAACTGACAGGACTTGACAGGACTTGACAAGGATCAGGTGCATTTGATCAAACAATATAAGTGTCCACACTGCATTGTCAATGCGACAACAGTGCTGATTAAGTTGAGTGAAACCATTAATGAAACGGTTACCAATGCTGTTAAAAACAGTCTGCAGAACGAGTTACCAACAGCAATGGCTGCTGTCAAAAAAGATATAGTCAATGAATCATCTTCAAAAGTGAAGAGCTACGTTGATGCAGCGAAGGTTGACCTCCAGGCAACTATTAGTGACAAGCCACCAACTCAATTAGTGAAGGCAACAGTCCAACAGATTGATGCTGACAAGATCCAACGGATCAAAAGAGAATGTAATGTGATCATCAGACACGTTCCCGAAATGGCTATCAAAGAGAACAGATCTCAAAGCAATGATCTCAAGTTTTTACATGAAACCTGTGGCATGGAAGAAGACGTGATTGTGTCCTGTTTCCGGGCAGGTAAATTAACTGAATCTGGTGAAAGCAGGGAACATCAACCTAGACCGCTGATTGTAAAACTAAAATCAAAAGAGGCTGCATTGCATTGGAGTAACTATGGTAAAGGTTGGAAGATAGAAGTGGATTCTGAAAAAGCAGAGAAAGAAGTTTATTGGATCAATCAGGATCTGAACAGAGCTGACAGAGACGTCCAATTTTTTGTGAGACAGGAACGGAGAAAGCGACTTGCAGAGAAAGCAAAGATAAAGAATACCTAAACCTTAAATTGTTTTATAGTAACAGTAATAGTTATATAATAAGTTTTGTGAATTGAGAAATGCTGTTTCGCTGTACCAGTCTGACATTGTTTGCATAAATGAAACTCATTTTAACAATGAAATTATTGATGCTGAAATTAGCATACCTGGTTTCAAAATATTTAGAAAAGATAGAGATTTTACAGTTAAGGAAGAAGTAGGAGAAAGTTCTGTTAGTAGTGGTGGAGGCTGTATTATTTATATTAAAGACTCTTTGAACCCAGTTGTCATAGATTGGTTTAGGGTCACTGATTCGATTGCTGTTGAATTCGATAGCAACATTGGTAGGGTAAATATTGCATGTATTTATAGATCAATGTCTCTTTCTAAAGCGCAGAACAATGCAATGACCAAAATGATTGCAAAACTAGCTGTTTTTAATGTTGAATCAATCCTAGTTGGAGATTTAAATTTACCAAATGTATCTTGGCTTAGTGGAACTGTTAATGCTCCTTTAGGAACAAGTAACAAGGGTTTAATTATAGAAAAGAATTTTATGGAA